TTTGGGCCCAATTGGACCATTCCTCTCTCGACGTCCACCCCCTGCATCATGCAGGGGTGGCATGGGCTGCAGGAGTGTACCAGTTTCTGTCAGAACCCCGTGTAAAACTTGGTTACAAGCCTTTACCTCATCCCCTTGACACCTGTAACCAAGCTCTATCAGGTGTTACAGATGATCAAAAGCTCCCATAGGCTTAGTAGGAGAGTTGTAGCAACTAGAGAGACTCCTGAGTTCGCCCCCAGAGGCCCAGAATGGGTATTTAAGAGCACCTTCTTCCCCCCAAACTCTGATTCCCCATCTTCATCAGTACATACCAGCACAAACCGTCACCAACAACCAGTTTCAACCTGCCTTTTGGCCCAGTTCCTGCTGTTATCAACCTGAATTTCACTCAACAACCCAACACCTGTTCCCCAGCACTCTCCCAACACCTCTCACTCACCTTTCTGAGCGCTTCAAGAACAGTCCCCCTCTCCTGAAGACCTCCTTGGCTTAGAGATAAGTACCAGTAAGTATTATCTCTTTGTTTTCTTCAGTAGTAGACTTTTTTCTGGGTTTACTCCTTTATTACAAAGGACCAGAACTTCAGTACCACCCCTGCAACTCAGGACCTGAATTAGAGGGCACAGTAAAAAACCCCTGCAACTCAGGCCCCTCTGTAAATAAAAACTTAATAGTTTTTTAGTTACTATTTTCTTTTATTTTACACACACTTCCCCCACTTTTCACGTGTCACCCACACGTGTACACATCCTATTTCACTTTTTGCAGCTAGTGTAGCTAGAAGAGTTTGGCTCTTGGCATCACTTAGCCTGACAGTTACACTAAGAATTAAAGAAAAGGTGTGGCTATTTCTGTGGGTAATCTTAGTATGAGATTTATTACTGATGTCTTGTACAAGTCACCTGTTTTAGAGATTGAGGATGTGGGGGATTCTGGTAAGGATGAGGCTCTGGGGGGTAATGGTTTCTGGGTTCAATTTCTTATCTTCTGGGGGAAAATCAATAATAATTACTTCTGGTAACTACTAGTAAGTGATGTCTGCTAAGTAATTATCTGTTTACTTCTCTAATGCAAGCATGGGGAACAAAGTAAGTGGGAAAGAGTATTCTCTATATACATGTGGGTGGTTCTGATCAGGTACTAGTGGTAAGATATCAGCTGAAATAAGAAGATGGTATGAAATAAGTTGTATCTGAAAGACAAGTGGTTATGAAATAAATGTGGCTGACAAATGTGTAGTGTGAAATAAGCATGTTGAAAAGGAGAAAATATGAAAGAACTTCTGTTTGTGATAAAAATAGTATGTAGTGCAAAAGGAATGAGATAATAAGGACTGAAATAAATATTCTGAGGTGAGATGAGAAATCTGTGTGGTGAAATATATATGTAGGTGATATAAGCAATGAGTTGAAATGAGATGTATGATCAGAATGTAGGTGATATAAGCAATGTGTAGTGAGTTTGAAATGGAATGTAAGAGTGAAATATTTGTAGTATGAAATAAATGTAGAATAAAATAAATGTAGAGTGAAGTAATTGATGTATGGAAAGAAGTGGATGGTGAGTGAGATGAGATGACAATATCTGGATGAGAAAGCAAATGTATGGGATGAAATATTATATGTAGTCTGACTAAGTGGTATCTGAGATGAAACAAATACTATTTACTGAAAGATTATTATCATAGAAAGAAGGTACTGAGGGAAGACTAATTTGTATCTTGAGATGTGTGATATGTAGTATGTTGTAGCTATGTAGTACTATATATTATGCAACCAAATAAGTACAAAACCTACTATTTTATAGTGTTCTGAAATGGATACAAGATAATATATTATGTAGCTTATGTATATCTGGCTGTAATAACATGAAAACTACTGTAAATAGCTAATTTGTACTAAGTATGACCTTGATTGGTCTTACCACAACGAGCGGACGCAATGTATATATATATAGGGGGGACTTGATGCAAGACCGAGATGGTGGGAAACGGACAACCACAAAGCTGATAGGGATGTCAACAGAAGAAAAGCTACAACATCTTGAGATTGGAGAAAAGAGAGAAACATGAGATGGATTCGAGTTTTTGGGGACATCATTCCAATCATGCTTTCGGCTGCAAGACAGAAATGTGGGAGAAGCCAACAAAGGAGGGGGGGGGGAATCAAACCATCTGTATGACAGCGGATACCATTCGATGGTCGCTAACGATTGACTCATTCTGGAACTGATTAGGAATGACACCGTACTTGAGAGTTTGCCAGAGGTTGGGTGGACTTGACATAGTCATGATGTAATCGATCTTCATCAGGTCCTCTGGGTCGTGTTGGAAGCCGGTGAAGGTTGCATTATGGGCCCCGAAGGGCCGGCCGACTTGCTCGCCACAGTCTTGGAAAAACCGGTCGCTGGCTCGGTGGGCAGGTTGGTCAGTTGCCTTCCCCGTCAGGACTTGGTATGCTGACTGTTCCCGCACCAAGTTCAGGTCCCCTATCAACAGCACTGGCTTCCCTTTCTCAGACGTCAACTCGTTGGCCTTCTTCAAGATTAGTTTCGCGGATTCGGTCCGCGCTTTTTTGTACCAAGATCAGGAAAACAAAAAGTAGGCGCGATCGTATCAGCAATCATCGATCCGCGATCTTGGATGGTTAAGGTAGGGTACACACCTTTCTGGCCGGCATTGTCGAAATGGGTATTCATCACATAAAACGGCTGGTTGGACTGATCATCCGGGCTCGCGCCTGTAGACAAGGGTTTTAAAGTGACTAAAGTGACCATCCTAGGTTCAGCCTAGATGTACAGAGGGAGAGCGATTGTTTTTCAATTTTTTTGATTAGGAGAAGACAACAAAAGCAAGTCGAATGGATTTGCACTTTAAATGATGTCAAGAAGCTTACAGCATCCCAACCGACCGAGCCGGGCACGTCGGGCTTGTCGGAAAGCCAAAAGTATTGAACACTGAGCGCTTTGAACCGATCGGTCTTCCAAAACAGAGGCACATATTCGCCTCGCGTCACTCCATCGTTCCGGCCCACCCCAACGGAGGCGTATTGGGCTGGGATCAACTGATCCTTGAGACCCACATACTGATGCCCGAGGACCTCCTGAAGTGCAACAATATCCGGCGACTCCCACTTGATCTGATCCGCTATCAGCGGTAGTCGGTTCGACCACAAGTCCTCCCCAGTGCCGTTGTTGGGAACTTGCGTGGAAACCGTGTTGTTCACATTGAGCGGCGAATACCGAATGTTGAAGGTGGCCACCTTCAATAGCTTTTCGACTACTTGAACCATCGTGGAGGATTGTGAATATGACAATTGAAAGATGAAGGTTAACCGTTGAAGTCTCTGACCAAAGCAGGCTATGAGACCCAGTACATAGCAGATGCTTCTGCGTGTTGTCCTTGGGTGTGAGTTGTTTTTTTCTTTCTGATCACTCGGCGAGAGTGTGCTTATGTAGCCAATTTTATCACAATCGCTGGCCAATCTGTTGTTTGGAATCGTTGCTACACAGTTCGGTAGCAATAGCTCATCTACACAGGTAACCATGAGCAGCCGGTTATACCAGTTTCCTCGTTGTGCTGTTGCTGATCACCCTTGCACAGGGTTGATCTGTGTCTTCGCCAGCCTATTTCTCGACTGGTTCATGTGTCCAGCAGGCCGCCAACCGCTTGGAAGTGTATCCTCTTGGACATGAGCTTCACGGCCCATCACTTGCTTGATGGGACTTGTCATGAATATAGTCAACAAATGAGTGATTGGTCCCGGCGATTGAGATTAGCCCTCTCGTTGATCAGTCCCGGCCATGATCGAGGCCATCGAGAGTAGCTTCGTTGCGAGCCGCAGGCCGGTCCCGACGATCTGGAGTAGCTCTCACAGTTCTCCTGACGACCAGAACCGGTCAACAAGAGGAGCTCTCTTGTGATGCCCGGTTCCGACCACCGGGAGAGCTACCGCGTTGCTCGATGCCCGGTTCCGACCACCGGGAAAGCTACCGCGTTCCTCCATGACCGGTCCTGGCTATTGAAAGTGGCTCCTGTCCGGTCCCGGCCACCAGGAAAGCTCCCGCTCTTCTCGATGGCCGGGCCCGGTCGTGAGGAGAGCTACTGTCGATGCCCCGGCCCGGCCAAAGAGAATAGCTCTCGTCCGGTCCCGGTCATCAGAAGAGGTGCTGATCTTGTTGATGGCCGGTCCCGGCCATCGATAGTAGCTGCCGGTCGTGAGGAGAGCTACTGTCGATGCCCCGGCCCGGCCAAAGAGAATAGCTCTCGTCCGGTCCCGGTCATCAGAAGAGGTGCTGATCTTGTTGATGGCCGGTCCCGGCCATCGATAGTAGCTGCCCTCATGAACGGGCCCAGCGATTGAGAGGAGCTCTGGTCCTGTCCAGGCCATCACGAGAGCTAATCCCGATGGTAAAGGATTTTATATCTACAGGAGTTCATCTCTACTTCATTCCCGGCCGTTCTCCAGATGGCCTGTCCTGATGAGCGGCACTCAATTTATGGCCGGGAACGGAGCAGGACCTCCATTGGGAGCTGCACTATCTTGATGGCTGTTTCTCAACCCTCACCCTCCCCACCATAACTTCAATTTAACAAGCCCTCAGACCAAAGGATAACTTTTCTCCTACAGATCAGCCCTTGCCCACCCTCCACACAGGTGGTAAGTTGAGGACAATTTCTTGGGAACACTTCAATGCAAGGGAAGTGACAGCTTGTGGCAGGGGAAATGATGCATTTTGATTCATTGAATGAAACATACACAATTGATAGGTCATATTTTGCTTGAGTCATACTTCTACTCAAAGGATTGTTTCAAAGAACTTATTCTGAGAATTTATTCTTATGCCAAGAGCATTTGGTGCATATAATCCACACATAGAACTCATCAAGCTGGGTATTTGAAACCTACAAGAATAGCATGTGGATTACTATTTCACTGAAAAAAACTGACCCACAATCTTCTTTCCAACTAGTAATTCAATGATCTTGTTCCATCATGCTTATTGCATGTTTTGATTGCTGTGGTTCAAGTAGAAACCCCCCATAATTATATTACCCACTCCCTCCCATGTAGTGTCCTTCCCAATTGCATAAACAAGAATTGAAATCTAGATTTCAACCAATTCAATGAAATAGCAAAAAGTCTATGTTTTGGGGAATAAAGCTTTAAAAATTTATTTGAAAAATGCTATTCCTTGGAGCACTTGGATTACTTTTGATGCTACTCAAAATCTAATCCCTTGGATCCTGATTGCACTGGCCAAAGATTTCAAGTAGGATATGTGGTTGGAAGTGAACCAATGAGGGTGGTAAACTCAAATGAACATAGTGGCTGTTTTATTTGATTATTGGAGTAGATTGGTGATCCCAATTACTACTTATTAGTTTTTCATGCTGTCATATCATCATCTATCCCCAATGGGGGATTTAACATTTAACAGTTCAATTTGTTAGGTTTCATATTGGCATGTGTTTTGATGTCATAATTCCAAATTATTCTAATTTATAGTTGGGAAGCAGTGGAATGTAGATTCCTTGAAAACCTGGTAGGGGCTATGGCTGGTAGTTTTCAGTTGTTTGGAAAAGTGAGTCATTTGGGCTGGAGATCTTGATGTGAATGCACTCTCAGTTGTATTCCTTTGAAAAGGGAAGCCAAAGTGAGTCAAACTCTGGTCCTGACTCATTGAAAAGGAAAACATAAGACACACAGTTGCT